TCGTTTAGTCCAAGGACTGTGCCCACGTTTCTGAAGGATTTGTTTAAAAGCGGTAATTTCTTTAACAAAAGGTGAGGTTGGAGTTCCTTCTGACTCCATTCTTCCCTCTGGTACTGGCTTACCCAGTTTTGTTTTAAACATCTTAACACGGATAGCTCACGAAAGCTCATGCTCAAATAAATTGGTTAGTCTCTAAGGTGCCACAAGTACTCCTTTTCTTTTTGCGAATACAGACTAACACGGCTGTTCCTCTGAAATCAATCTCTTTGTCACTCCTGGTATTCCTTAGCAAGTGACACAGACTAGATTCTGAAATCATAGCTTATCAGATTTCCTTGTCACACCTGGCACAGGCCAGGGAGTGACACAGCCTAGATTCTCTGAACCTGCTACTCCTTATTCCAGCGAGTAGCTTAGCCTGGCCCTTAGGCCTTCTTGCTGCCCCAATACCTCAGTGAGCAATAGGACTTAAGTTTAGTCATCGTAGCTTAATCTATGAGTTTTTCCCCGTTACCTCCGAGGGCAGCAGGTCCCCTGCTACCTTCCCAGAGGCCAGCAGGTCTGGTTAACCTGTTCTTGCCTGCTACCTTCCCAGAGGCCAGCAGGTCTGGTTAAACCTGGTCATTTTTAGTAACCTTAGTTTAAATTATACACTTTTCCCTGCAACCTTCCCAGAGGCCAGCAGGTCTGGTTAAACCTGGTCATTTTTAGTAACCTTAGTTTAAATTATACACTTTTCCCTGCTACCTTCCCGGAGGCCAGCAGGTCTGGTTAAACCTGATCATTTTTAGTAACCTTAGTTTAAATTATACACTTTTCCCTGCTACCTTCCCGGAGGCCAGCAGGTCTGGTTAACCTAATAGAAATGCCGAGCTCAACAGAGCTGGCAGTTTGCACACCAATATTTACAATAACTGAGGCTTTTTACCAGTATTCCCCCTCTTGCAATTCTCCACCAAAATGTTATACAAATAAAATAAAAACCAGCAGGATCTTATTAAAGGGGAAAAGGCAAAATGCCACATTTATTGTGAATACAGAAAGAATCATAGTAAGCAATGAGTTATAGCTATACCATTCCATTCAATTTCATATTTATTCACACACACACACACGTTCTGCAAGGTTGTTATCATAGTTACCAGCCTTAGAGTTGCTCATCCCAAGCCACTGGCCAGGTGGCCTGGACCTGAGGAGGGAGCAGGGCCTTGTCAGATGCTCATCTGATGCTCCTGGAAGTTGGTTTGCAGAATCAGACCCTAAAGTTCTCACTTTCTAGAGTCCATTTTTATAGGAATTTCTTCCGATGCCAGTCTATGGGAATTGCTTCATCATGCTGTTGCTGAATCAATCAGCAGATGGCACATTCCTGACGGCTCCGTGCTGCCAGATGTTATCTTGTTCTTTGGTTCTCCCATCCTTGATGGTGTTGGGTGGATTCCAGTCTTCCCTCCGGGGGTCCTCTATTTATTTCCACTTGACGCCTTCTTCAGCCGATGGACACTGGATTCTTAGGCTGGCACCTCCCTGAACATTCAGTTATTATCCACACCAAGCATCCATCCACATACATCCTCTATCTCTATTTTAATCACAATTGTTAATAAAGCGAGATGAATACAACAAAAGGGCAGGGAGTCTCTGGGTGCTGTTTCTGTTACAGAGTATTGCTTTGAGTCTCTCTCTGGGTGAGTAGTTGTTGTTACAAGGAATTGCTTTGAGAACAGACTCCGTCTTAGAATGTACTAACACAATTAGTAGCTTGCAAGTTTCACACAGAGAGGGAAAGAAACAGTACCAAGAACCAAGAGACCTCTTAATTAGTAATACCCTGGAATTTAAACTATGGGGAATCAAACTCATTTGTGATTTTAATACAGAACTTCTTTAATATGATCCAACATGTCGAGAGTGCTCCGCTCCCTAGGGGCCATGGGATGCAAAGTGTAAGTTAGAGCAGCCCCGGGGCTGCTCTAAGTTACACTGCAGGCTGGGGAGGGCCCTGCACACCTTTTAAGGTTAAAGGCACCTTAAACCACCCACTCCACCTCTGTCCCCAGCAGAGGAGCCAAGTAACTAGGTACCTAGTGCGCTGCCTCAGCACTGGCATTTACTGAAATCAAAGGGGCCAGGCAGGAGCGGAAAGGGTTAATCACTGAGCTGCTTACACTTGCTTATCCGAAAGCTGGGCTGGTGTCTTTGCACAGACAAGGCCTTTGGGTTTCTCCTTGCTGCAAGGTTAACCCAGACTTCGTGACCTCCTCAGAGTCCAAACACAGATAACAGCTCTCCAGTGACTTTTAAAACTCTCTCTCTCTCTCTCTCTCTCTCTCCCTTTTCACCCAGTTTTGCTGTGAGGCCAGACCTGGATTTGATCAGGAACCCCCTCAGTGAAAACACCTCTAAAAAGGAACAGATGCCTGGTGTCTCAAAGCGAAGGGCCCAACAGAGGCAGTGATGGGACGGTGGGGGGGCGGGGGGTAGATGGACTGTCACAGGGGAGGGCCTGGAGGGCTTATAATGAGAGCTGGTTGGGAAATGGGTATTTGTCACAGGAATGTTTGGCTTTTTATGGAATTTTTTTTTAAAAAAGGCCAAAAAAACTGGAGAGAAAAAAAAAAGTATAAACATCAAATTTGTGACAAAACCTGAAAAGTTCCAAGGAGAGCAGCTGCTTCCCCAGAGAACTTTCATCTCATCAAAACCCCCCAGTTCTCGGTATAAATTAGGACGGGAAATTTTCGCCCAGTCCTGCTTCTTCTGCCTGCACAGTGGTGGCTGCGGAGGGGCCAGCCAGGGAGCCCGCGGTCTTGTGCGAGTTGCACCACTGACCCTGCAGAAGTGCTTGAGCCACTGCCCTGCCCTGACCTAATCCACCAAGGCGCTGCCCGTGAAAACGCACAGGCGAAGTGCAGGGCATCCCCCCGTAGAAACTGCCCTGGCCGGGGCTGGAGTTACTCCTTGGATGGACACTCGCTGTGATGAAGATCTTTGGATTCAAGGGCTGGACAGTTTCACGCTCTGGCTTTGCATGGAGCTGCACCAGGTTGCTGGGTTTCCTCTCTGCTCCCTCCCCGATGAGTGTGCCTGTCTCTCCTCCACACCCCCCCCCCCATCTGACTGGGATTTACTGTGGGGTGGGGGGAGGGGGGACATTTTGACTCCTGCTCCCTTGGGGTGGAGTTGCGCAGCACGCCCCTGATATCCATGATCGGACAGGGAGCACTCACGGTCACTCAGCGCCTCTCTGCCTGCGCTCAGGCATTGCAAGCAGAGCTTTGGGCCCCGGGCACTGGCCCTGCAGGATTGGTGGTGCAGGAGCTCCCCTGGGGAGGCAGGCAGCCAATGGGCCTTGGGGCATCATCCATCGCTGCTCGCGGCCTGCTGAGGCTGTGTGCGTGTGTCCCTCAGAGCCCGACCGAGTCGTACAGCCGTGTGGAGGGAGTGGGGAGCTCTCTGCTCCCTTGTCCAGTGGCAGCATTTTGCAGCCTTGCTCAGAAGAGCTGTAAATCACTGCACCAGTGCAAGGCGGGAGTTACTGGATTCTTTTTTCCACCCACTTATTCGGCTCTTCTCTCCTCTCCCCCATCCTGCCATTCCTTACCAGGAAGCACCTGACACTTACCTCTCAGAACCAGCCCCAATTCCCCTGGTAGGTCCCTTCGCTAATTACACGCTCTCCACCATTGGTGAGAAAGCTGTGACAGCCAGTCATTGCTCATAACCTGCCACCACGCCCTGGGCCCTGGGCTGGAAAGTGCCTTTAAAAACTTCCTCCTGACGACTTCCACCTGCTCTCCTAGCCCCAGTGCTGAAAGGGTGCCTGGCGTTGGACACATACTCCTTTGGCCAAGCCTGGATGACCTTGGTCTCCCATCAAATAAATCAACACCCCTCTGAGAAACTCTAAGCAGCCGCCTCCCTTATCGCAAACCTGCTGGCTAAGTGACTTTAGAAAAACGCTCACAGCCCAGAGCTGCCCAGGTAGACTGAGAAGCTGCTTCATCCTAAAGGGGACCTGGATTGCCAAGGAGTCTCCCAGGACATCCCAGCTCCTGCTGGCAGCAAACTATTTTCTCCTGTCCTGCTCTTGTTTTCCTAGCAGTTTAGTGGGGTTTGATTTAGTTATTTATTTATCTGCTTATGAAACTTACTGTGAAACAAGGCTTTTAGGAATCTTATATCTTTTTTAAACACAAGGGAACATTTTGCTGAGCACAACACTGGTTTGGAACCTGTTGCCTTTTGATCTTCTCACCTGTATCAATTTCACTGATCACTCCTTTTTAAAATTTTTTAAGCTGGGTATTTTCTTTCTTGTGCCATCACCTTTTGGCTTTCCAGGCACTAGGGGGGAAGTGCTGAGTGTTGGCATTGTTCTGAATAGACAAAACAGGTTTGGTTTTGTTTTTTGATCAGCCTCAACTGGACTTGCTTTGATTTCTAAGGATGTGTTTTAAAATATTGACATTCTGGTCAGTTTCAGTTTGTAAAATATTTTGATTTTTCAGAAAGGATCCAGGCCAGATGGTTTTGTTTGTTTAAAAAATATTTCTTCTCCTCCCCCCCCCCCCCCCCCAGCTGATCCTGACACCGTGAACATAGAGACTTTTCTGCAGTGTGGGTCTCTCTGGGTCCTGGATCCAAACTGTGAATTTCAGTTTCTGAAACACTTTGATTTTCATACACAATTTGCTGTTTTTGTTGGTTTAAATAATTATTATTTGTTCCCTTCTACCACAGTGAACCTTCACTTGGTTAACTGTAGTGGTTTTTTTGTTTACAGCCCTTTGCTGCCTATCTGTGTGTCTATTTCTGTCTGTCTGTGGCCCTATCTAGGCGCTTTCCAAACTGCCCCTGCTTTGCTAGCAAAGCTCTCGGGTGGCTGCATTGAGCCAGCAAGTTACGGCACAGGGTCCCGTTGCAGGCCTAGCTGTTGATTTGCTTGCGGGGGGGGATCTTGTGGGGCTGGGTCTGTCCGTGTCTGAGGTGGGGGCGTTGCTCGGATAGCAGCTGGCTCGATGTCCCAGGTGGGCAGCATGGAGGTTTTTATGCCGGAGATGCTAACATTCAGCCTCTGGGACTACGGAGTATTTGGTCTGATGCTCCTGGTCTCCACGGGGATTGGGCTTTTCTATGCCCTCTCCAAAGGCGGGCAGAAGACCAGCGACGACTTCTTCACCGGGGGGCGCCAGATGTCGGCCGTGCCTGTGGGGCTCTCGCTCTCTGCTAGCTTCATGTCGGCCATCCAGGTGCTGGGTGTGCCGGCAGAGGCCTACCGCTACGGCATGAAGTTCTTGTGGATGTGCCTGGGGCAGATGCTCAACACCCTGCTGACCACCTACCTCTTCCTGCCCGTCTTCTACCGCCTGGGGCTGACCAGCACCTACGAGGTAAGGGAGCCTGGTGGGACACAGGAGACAGGCCTGGGCAGACACGTATCTGGCTTCCCAGGTGGCTTCCCTGCGGGTGGGTTTGTTCAGGGTTTGCTCAGTGCTCGTGAATTTGAGGGGCTGCTAGGACTGGCGAAGGGCATTTACGGGGCAGCAGGAGCTGGGCAACCTTCCCCTGCTAGCCCAGCCCTGTGGCTCTGCTAAGCACATTCTCCTAGTTGCTGAGTGGGAAAGGTCAGGAATCCTGCTCTCTGCTGGCCATCCAGAGTCTTATCATTAATAAACACTATGGATAACAGGAGCTGATAAATCCACTGTCCCCAGATCTCAGGACACAGGGGTGGGGGTCAGACGGTGCCCCCTGGGATCACAGTATTTCCTCTCTCCTCCTTCAGCCTGAGAGGCAGGCTTGTCTCATGGTAAGACTCAGGACGCCTGGGTTCTATTCCCTGCTCGGGGACGGATATGGTTAGAACAGGGGACTAGGAGTCTGGTGTCTGTCAGCGCCAAATGCCTGGCCCAGGAGAGCAGCTGCCTGGATTCCTGGCCCTGCTATTATCCCTGACAAACTCCAGGGCTCCTCACTGGGCTTCCAGGCAGTGCAGCTGCTGGGTCCCACAAAGGAGCCTCGCTGCCAGGGCCTTGGTGGGGAGAAGGCTGAGGTCAGGCGGTGCATGCTCCCCCAAAGGGCTGGGGAAGGACGCGGGGGCACTGATCGCCTTCCAGAGCTGGGTGGGGGCAGATCACAGCTTCCCCAGAGCCTGGAGGTCTCTGACTGCCTGTCTCTAGCTCTGTGAGGTCGCTCAGTGCTCTGGGTGCTTTATTCTGTGTCTGGTTCCCACAGGCTGAGCATAACAACCAAAGCTTTCCCACGCCCTGCTCAGGTTCTGTCTGGGAAGCTCAGCCCTTAAAGACTGAGTCCCCAGTATCACAAGTGCTTCACCCGACGCCCTGGTTTGGATTCCTGCTCTTGGCTTGCTGGAGCATGTGCTGGGACCTGTGTTAGCTCCATCTCTGAGTGGTGTAAACAGCGTGTCCCTGGAGGGGAAGCATTAGCGAGCCATGCAATGACGCGCAAGGTGGAGAGCTGGAGCCACCTGTGAGGGGCAGTGGTCTCTGTGGAACCTGAGCTCTGCCAGTTCACACGCTGGCTGGGGACTCGGGAGATCTGGGAGTTCCTGGCTCTGCCCCCAACCCCCTTCCTTTCCTGGTGCCTCAGTTTCCCCTCTGTCCAATGAGGCTGATGTCACATCCCTGACTTGCTGGGGAGTTGTGAGGACAAATGCATTAAGGGCGGGGTGGGGGGAGCAGACGGGCCCCTAGTTCTAGTCCTGGGACTGGAATGCTGCTTCCACGGAACAGCGAAGGAGGCATTTGGTGCCCAATGACCATGAAAAGGAATGGGATCTGGGAGCCTGAATCCCACTCTTTGCCTTTAGCCAAGTGCCCGGGACCGGCTCAGCTCCAGGATGTTCTCTCCCTGCTTAAGCACATTTATGCTCCGAGGCCTGTTCACTGTGTGGTGGTGGAAAGGCGGCTGCTCTCCAGAGCTCCAGGGGTCCCCCTCTCTGTCCCACACACACACTGTCTGGCCGGTGAACCCACGGCACCCTTGGGCCGCTAAGTCCCAGGGGCACTGGATCTGTGTACTGGAGCCCCTGAGAGGCCAGTGCTAATCTCATTGGAGGGGTCAGAACCGTGGTTTGAACTCTGCTCCCTCTGACTTTCTTACCCTCCAAACCTAGCACTGCTGTAAATCCGAGGGGCGGGGGAGCCTGCTCTGCGAGGAGCAAAGGGGTTTGCAATTCTGCACCTGTGCAATGTGTTGTGTGGGGCAGGGGGCTGCACTGACAGGCTGAGACAAACCATCACAAAGGAAGGAAATGGGTTAGATTGAGTCCCCTGAAGAACCAGACTCCTCCAAGACCCTCAGCAGCGGCTGGGGGCTCCTGTCCCAGCAGGCTTGTGCTGGGGGTAGCCGGGCAAGAGGCTGGGGAGCTGCTCAGAGATGGGTTGGCTTGTTGAGGCCCCTCCCGTGGAGGAGATGAGCAAAGAGGTCAGCAGCCCTCTCCCGCCCCCCCCCACACACACACACTGAATTACACACCCTGCTCCCCGTTCTCTCTTGCAGTACCTGGAGATGAGATTCAGCAGGAAGGTTCGTCTATGTGGGACCATCCAGTACATCACTGCCACGGTGCGTGGTCCCGGGGTCCGGCTGGGGCGGAGTGGCATGTCTGGGGGTGGGGGCCGCACAGGCAGAGCGGTCTAAGTACAATGACATAGTGGGGTCTGAGCAGACGCCTCTCCCGGCCTCAGCTAAAGGATCCGCTCTACAGTGCAGCCTAGTGGGTAGGGCACAGAACTGGGAGCCAGAGCATGGGGGATCTAGCCTCACTCTAACGCCATGGGGCAGGTCGTGTCCCGCTGGGTACCTCTGTCTGGGGGGTGCCCACGTGAACAGCATGAGGGTCAAGGGTTGGGCAACAGCTGGACCTACTCCAGACCTGGTCCCCATTATCTGATTTCCCCCCCCCACCCTCCCGCCATCCCGCTGGGGCTGAGCTCTTGCTGACGGGCTCGGAGTGCTCTGTGCTGACGATGGGTTGGGATGCTGTTTGTTCCACCTGCAGATGCTGTACACAGGGATAGTCATCTATGCCCCTGCGCTGATCCTCAACCAAGGTACATCCCAGGCCCCTCACGTGATTCCTGGTCTCAGGGTTCTTGGGCCAGTGCCTTTCATCCTGGAGCGACGCCTGGAAAGGGGCACGTGCAAATAAAGGGGCCTGGCTGGTGTTCTTTAGTATTTCTCTTCCCATAGTGCCAAGGCACAGCCCAGCCCCCCATCATGCCTGGTGCTGCCCTCTGGGTCCTGCCCCAAGCAGCTTACAATCGAAGCCCTTCCTCTATACCCTTTGCTGCGGCTACAGAGTCTTTGTCCTGCCAGCCCACGACTCCCGCTGGCCTCACTGACTCCCATGGAGCTATGGCCGCTGTACACCAGCTGGGGCTCTGGCCCCATTGGCTTAGTGGGGCGATGCTGATTTATGCCAGCTGGGGATCCGTCCCGCTAGCTCTTGTGAGCGCCACCACTGTCTGACGGGCTGCAAACTTTGGCCCTTAGAGCCGACCCGGGCCCCGAAGTTCAGGGCTGGGGAGAATCGGGAGTTCTGTGCCGGGCCCGTTTCCCTGCGGGCCTCACGGCTGGGTCAGGGAATGTCTCCCCTTAGCTGACTGACTTCTTCTTTGGTTTAGTGACAGGGCTGGATATCTGGGCATCTCTTCTCTCCACTGGAGCCATCTGCACCTTCTACACCACCATAGTGAGTACCAGCCCCTCCCTCTCTGCTGCTGGCACGTGTCCTCTAGCTTTCGACTGGTTCCACTAGAGATCCCAGAAATCAGAGAGACGAGCAGGAGGGTAGGATGGGGCTTGCCTGGGGTATCCTGGTGCTATGCCCAATGCAAAGGGGCTTCCATCCTGTGCCCTGCGGGGCCCTTCCACAATCTGCTGGCAGGTCAAACCAGCGATGACACAAGGGGGAATATTAGCTCGCTGGGCCATGTCCCTACCCGGCTTGGGATGAGCTAACCCTTGGGGCCAGGGCCCCAGCCCGTGTAAATCAGTGTCCCTGCATTGACGTCCACAGATCGGTGCTGATTTGCTCCAGCCCAGGCTCTGGCCCCTGGGGGCTCTGTGATGTCACTTTGGTGCTGGCCGCCCAGGGCACTGACCCTCCTCTTCTCCCTCTACAGGGTGGGATGAAGGCTGTCATCTGGACAGATGTGTTCCAGGTGTTCGTGATGCTGTCTGGGTTCATTGCCATCCTGATCCAGGGGACGCTGCTTGTGGGCAGCCCTGGAGCAGTCCTGGAGATCACATCCAACCACTCCAGGGTTAACCTGCTCGAGTAGGTGCCTTTCCCAGCATGGACCTTTTCCACCAGAAACCCACTAACTCTGAGCCACAGGACTCCTACCTCCAGGTCCCACTCCCCTCCCAGGGCTTGGACAAGAACCCAGGAGTCCTGTTTCCCATCTCCCTGCTCTAACTGCTAGACCCCACTCCCCTCCCAGACCTGGGACCAGCCCCATGCTGGCTACAGAGGTGTCCTTGCTGAGCAGGGCTGCTGTCTGCCCCAGGGTTTTTCCCTGCCAGTTTCCATTTTTAGTGGGGCGATTCTCCGGGCTGGCAGTCTGCGTCCCACACTGGGGCCCTGTGGGATATTCCCACAGCAATGCGGTGTGACCCTTCCCGGCTGTTCATTGTACCATGACAGCACCAAAATGCCAGCCCGTTACACTGGGATGTCCCAGCATGACTGGGGTGGGAGGTAGAACTGCCAAGATGCTTGGGGGCCCCTCCCCCCAACCCCACACACTCACTTATGGGGTTGGGAAAATAGTCTGTGTTGGGAGACTCTCCCCCTGCATGACTAGCTTAGTCTGTGTCTCGCCCTCCCCTTCTGTCTGCAGCTTCGACCCAGACCCCAGGAGCCGCTACACCTTCTGGACCTTCACCTTTGGGGGCACCATGGTGTGGCTCTCCATGTACGGTGTGAACCAGGCCCAGGTCCAGCGCTATGTGGCCTGCAAGACGGAGAATGAGGCAAAACTGTGAGTCCCCACTGCTTCGGAAAGGGAAACTGAGGCAGGGTTTAACTTCCTAGGGAAGTGAGAGCCAGGCTGCTGGGGAACTCAGCATAGAGGGATGCAGGAAGCGGGACCCTGTTTGAGTCACCTCACGGTGGCTGCGGCCAGTGCTGGCGGCTGAAGGGTTATGATCCAGTGTTGCCATGTAAAACTGCACTTATGGAGCAGGCAGGATTAGAACCTTTGATCGTCTGGTCTAACTGCACACGCCTCTATCCCCTGACCTGTCTCCTGGCTGGCATGGGAAAGCCCAGGGTGCAGGTGGGACACAGGTGCCCTCGTCCCTCCTGATCCACCACTGTGCAGGGGGACGATCTGTCTGGGGTTTATTGGCTCGTACATGCTACTATCTGCCCCGATACCGGTATCTCTAATATCAACATGGCCGCTGCCAGGAGCCTTATGCCCCTCCTCCTGTGTGAGTCTATAGACACAAGCCATGATCCGTCAGGCACCGATAACCCACCCTGGCCTCCTCCAGTGTTCTGATAATGGCCAGGGGAGACTAGCTGCCCCACCCGGCTGGCCATGCCAGCGCTGGGACCAGCCCGCCCGTACTTATCGGTGGCTGAGGTTGTGCCTGTTCCAAGAACCTCGTTTCGTGCAGGGACATAAAACCAGCAGAGATTAAAGCTCTTGGCTGCAGTGATATCTTGTGGCAGTGAGTTCCCCAGCCCATTGCAGTAAAGGATGAAATGTGACCATGGGGACTAGCTGGCTTGGGGTGGAGCCTAGTGAGGAGCCACTTGAGTGATGGGGAAAGGAGGCGGGGGAGAGGCCTCAGCCAGGGCTGAGGTTTGCATGGTGGGGGTTGGGGAAGAGGAAACCTTCCCTCCAGTCTTGTCAGGAGTGGGGAATGGTGAGGGATTGTGGAGAGGAAAGTGTCCCAGCTAACCAGCACTCCTGTGGAAGCCAAGAGGGGATTTCCCAGCCGGAGAGTCAGGGGAAGGATCCTTCCTGGATCAAGGCAGTGGTCACAGAGTTAAGTAGGTCAGCACAACAGACAGATGCTGCCAGGGAGCCAAGCTAGGGTGTAGCTCTGCCAGGAAGTGGAGGTGGCTTTTGCTGAGTAATTGTGACCCTGCAGCTCTGGTTTGTTCCATAAACAGGTAGGATGTTCGTTCCTCAGGTAGCTTTGTCCCATCCCGGGGTCTCCCAGGGACCCGGGCAGTGGCAGGAAGCCATCGATGAAGCCAGAGCCTGGAAGGCTACAAGTAGTTATCACCGATCTCTGGGGGAAGCGGGCACCAGTGACAGGAGACAGTTGTTCTTTGCAAAGCCAGCCCCAGCCCCTGGATTTCTCGTGGTCCCTGCAGCTGGGCCCTATGTTAGAGGGGATCTCGCTGTGAGCCTCCCCGGGCTGTGGGCCAAGCCCTCTGGGATTACTTTGAGCTCTGCGCACCGTGGGGGCAGCCGAGGGGCTCTGCCTGGTGTGCAGAGGGGAGGGCTCTCCTTGGAGGTCGGGATCCCGCCCTTGAGCTGGGGCACATTTTGGGGAGCGCAAGCGGAGCCCTGCGCTGAGAAGGGCGAGGCTGGATACAGGCCTGACCTGCTGTGCCCAGGGCCTGACCTCCAGAGGTGCTGAGCCCCTAGGGTGCCCACTGGCTTTGGCTGGCCTGGGGGTGCTCTGCCCCTCTGCAGGTCAGGCCTGGGGCGTCTCAAACCAGGCTAGCGCCCCAAAGCAACAAGCTCTGTCTGGCAGTGTTGGCTCTAGTGCAACTTGTGGGTCAGGGTGAGGAGGGCACCTTGCTGGGGGGCCCTACAGTGGAACCTCTGGGAGTTAGGCACCCACGTCCCATTGAAATGGGGCACCTCCGTCCCAGCCTGAGGGCATGGGTAGCTTGCCCTGCCTCTGCCGTGGGGAAGGGGGATGAACACAGACCACTGGGGCTGCTGAGCCAGCACGAACAGTGGATCTGCCCAAGCCTGGCGGAGGGGAAAGCCGGCTCCTGGCCAGACGTCACTGTGTGGTGTTGGCTCTGTCCCGGTTGTGATCTCTGCCGTCCATGTGTTCTCAGTGCTCTGCTGGTCAATCAAGTGGGCCTCTTCTTCATCGTCTCCAGCGCGGTGGGCTGTGGCATTGTGATGTTTGCGCTCTACAAGGACTGTGATCCCCTCCTGGCTGGATACATCTCTGCCCCCGACCAGGTACCCACGGCCTGGCTGGCCTCTGTCCCTGCTGCAGGGGAGCCCTGCTCTAGTGAACTGAGGGCTACTTGAGCAGCCAGGGGGAACTGCCCTGTTAATGACTGGGTGGAAGAGATCAAGACAAGAGGCCAAACTGAGGGAGCTTGACAGGTCGTCTGGTGAAGCCCCTGTGTGGATCATTAATTCTTTAGAGGGCAGAGCACAGGCCTGGCAAGCAGGACACCTGCATTCTTTCCTTAGTGGTTGGCGCGTAGGACTAGGAATCAGGACACCTGGGTTCTAGTCCTGGCTTGATCCGGGGTGGGTCCCTTCGCCTTTCTGTGCCTCAGTTTTCCTATCTATAAAGGAGGGCTGATGCTTTGCAAAGTGCTCCTGAGATAGGAGGTGCCATGCCCGGCGCTCGATATTCTGCTGTTAACCCACGTCTCTGGGGCATCCCCTTCTCTGCGTCCTGGTCGACGGGTTTAAGCTGCTCTCCAAGGGGGTCCTTTCCCCCACCCCCTACCAGTTCTCCTTAGAAGAGGGGGTTTAGTCTCACTCTGGAATAACCCCTCCTCCCTGCCTCTGGCTCCTCTGTAACATGGCCATCTCCTCCCTGCAGTACATGCCCTACCTGGTCCTGGATATCTTTGAGAAGTACCCGGGCGTGCCCGGTCTCTTCCTGGCCTGCGCGTACAGTGGGACCCTCAGGTGAGGGGCAGAGCCCAGCTTCCCCAGCAACTCATCGCAATAGTGACTGTAGCCCTGGGCTCCTTTGGGGGCCCAGCTATCCCACCCCCACCCCGCTCCCCTTTGTTATTCCACGGCTCAGAGCTGGCTCTGGAGTGGAGCTCGTCAGCTCTTTTAAACCCCCCCCACAGCCATTTGGGACAGGAAGTGAGGAGGAAAGTCGCTGTGCCCAGCTGCAGCTAAAGGGGCAGTTCTGGGCACAGACTGGGGTTGCCAGCACTGGGGATGGATAGGACTGTGGGGCAAGTGCCCCTAATCCTGTGGCACAGCGCCCCCTAGCGATGTGCTGAGGCATGTGCACTGACCCAGAGGGGAGCACGCCCTCCACATCAGTCCCTGTTGGTCTCCCATCCAAAACTCACTCGGGCCCAACCCCACCTAGCCTGGGAGACCGGAGGATGACAATCCCGTTGGCCTGGCATGCATGACTCTCCTCTGCTCCTGCCCCGTCTCTCCCCAGCACGGCGTCCACCAGCATCAACGCCATGGCAGCCGTCACCGTGGAAGACCTGGTCAAGCCCAGCATGCCCTCCCTGTCGCCACAGAAACTCACCCTCCTCTCTAAGGGACTCTGTAAGTGTGGGGCTGGAGGGAGGGGGGGGATCCTTGCATTGGCTGCATGGCGATGGGGCAGCGGCAAAGTTCGGCATTTGGCTGCCTGGGCCCTCCACCTGGGGGTGCATTTCACCCTGGCTGCTTAGGGCTCCATGGCTAAAGGGGAGACACATCAAAGTGACCTGCTCCCCAGCCCCAAGCTGCTCCCCGCACCCCCACCATGCCTCAGCCCCCTGCAGGGGGTGGGTCCGGTACGGCTGCTTCCCTGGCCTGAGGCTGTTTTTTCTCCATCCCGCAGCATTGATCTACGGCATCTCCTGCATCACGGTGGCTGCCTTGTCTTCCCTGCTGGGAGGCGGTGTGCTGCAGGTAAGCTTCCTCCCACCCCGCCCCCAGATGGTGCCATGCCCCAGGGTGCTGGTTCGATATCCGCAGGCTTTGTCCCTGGGCCCCGGCCAACAGCCACTGCACTGGGTCCCCATTGCTCCGGCTCATTTCACGTGAGTCATGGAAGAGCTGTCGAGGTGGCAATGACGTAGGGGTCTGCCAGCCAAGGGCTCTGTACCCTGTCGCCCACCCCCTGGCCCTATGCTCCTCCACCCCATCTCCTGCAGAGCATCAACCGCTCCATCTGAAGTCAACAGAGCCTCTGAAAATCAAGTTCCGGGCATCTCCCACTGGGATTCCAAGACTAGAAGCTTCCCAAAGTTTGGGAAAACTTTGGGGCTGTGTCGGCACCAGTGGTGAATATATTGGTGCCAACGCTCTGGAGTTTGGGATCATGGCTCTCAGGTGCCCCTCAGCGGCAGGATCCCACAGCAGCTGTTGGGCTGCAGCTAAGTAGCCTGGGGATGGATCAAGTTGAAACTCAAGTCCCCTCATTCAAGTGCATGAGGTTTTTAAGGCAGGACAGACCCGTGACTCCTGGCCAGACCTTCCTGACAGGAGCTAGTCAAAACCCACCCATCCTGTCCCGTTTTTCTTAACAGAAAACAGAAATGTCCACAAAACCCAACTTTTATTTTGTGATGTTGGGGGGGGGGGGGACACCACTTTTGGTTGTCCATGAAAATTAAATTCTCTCCTGAAAACTCCCCTTTGTTGAAAAATCAATTTTTTCATTTAAAAAAAAAAAAAAGTTGAGATGGGAAAGTCTTGCCTTGCTCTCCTCCCGGGCCCCTGAGTGCCAAACCCCATCCAGATCCTGGCTGACCTCCACCCCATCTCCATCTCTCCAGGGTTCCTTCACCGTCATGGGCGTGATAAGCGGCCCTTTGCTTGGAGCCTTCATCCTTGGGATGTTCATACCCGTTTGCAACACAGTCGTAAGTCCCTGCCACTTTGGGGGGAAGGAGGCTGCTTCAGTGCATCAGAATTGGGGTGCTGGTGCTCGGCTTGGCTCTGGAGCAAAGGGAGTGGGAGATCAGGGGCATCTGTGGGCTGTAGGTGGGGTGTGGGCTGCCAGCTGCCTTGTTCGACTCCAGCTGCCGGTGCCTGTCTCCAGTTGCTCCCGAGAGACCCGGAATATGCTGGCCCTAGAAGCAGGTACCCGGCTGTGTGCGCGGAGATGCCCGAGAGCTGTGGGGAAATGTCTATTGCCCAGGCTCTGGCTGAATCCTTGTTTCTTTTCTGCTTCTAGGGGGTTTTTGCAGGCTTGGGGTCTGGTTTTGTCCTCTCCTTCTGGGTGGCGGTGGGGGGCACCATCTACCCACCCAGTGAGGACACCATGGGAGTGCTGCCTTACTACGGAGACCTGTGCCCGCTCTACAATGCTACCGAGGGGATCAACAGCACCATTGTCCTGGGACCCCTGCCTCCGCGGAACGTCTCTGCACCCTTGGAAAGGTCAGGCCGGGAATGAGGGAACCAATCCAGCAGGGGCTGAATATTCCCAGGGCTGGGAATTGCCTGGATTGGAGGCTGTCCCAGGAAAGAGATGAGGGCCAGCCCACAAGTGTACCTGTGGGTCTGAACTCTCCCAGAGCCTGGAGGTGCGCTGAGCTGAGGGTTGGGTTCAGACCCATTATCCTCTAGGGTTTGAGCTGCGGTGGTGGTGGGTGGTTACTGGGTGGCGCTGCTAGTCTCCCAAGGTCTGTTCCTGTGCTTGTGAGCCGACAGCAGCCGTGTTCTGAAGACCTCCTGGGTGGCTGTTAGTTTCACAATGGAGCTTCTTTGAGGGGAGCTGTTGCAAACAGCAGGGGAACTCGCTCCCTGCCTGAATCTCTCCAACAGGAGTCCGGTTTGGGGACAGTTGCTCCCTGACCCTGGGCAGTGGTGCATGGGTGGAGAGCTCTGACAGAGGGGCTTGGCTGCATGCAGTCTGTAATGGCTCTGGTCCAGGACTGGGGTAGATCGGGTAAATAAACCAACAAAATATGGGACACTGATTTCTCCTCCTGCAAAGCCCCGACCACATCAGATGGGCAACTCTGTGATTTGGCCGTATTTGTATTCCGCACTGATAGTGTGGTAGGACCTACAGACCTCCGGTTTGTTGGGTTCACAGTGCGAGGCTCAGCCCTGTCCCGAAGACATTCCCTTCTACGAGCCCAGAGGTCACAGGGGGCTGAGCCAGGCTGGTGGGCTGGGGGGAAGGTAGGGCAAGCAATATAATAGGGGGTGACCAAGTCTCAGCCTTGGTGACTCCCAGGAATAGAACCTTCCTTGACCAGCCTAGATGTACCTAGTCGTGGTTTTCTTTAGCCTATCACGATATCATTCCCTCTGCTTTACTACAATGTCACTTCCTTCGCAGGCCGGCCATTGCCGATGACTTCTACGCCATGTCCTACCTCTACTTTGGGGCTTTGGGGACGCTGTCCACTGTGGTGGTGGGGGTGCTGATAAGTTACCTGACAGGTAATGCCAGCTGCAAGGTGCCAGCCCAGCCAACGGGCAGGGGTGCCATACGTTGGGCTGGTCCCTGGCATCCCACGGAGCTTGGGACTGGGTGGAGGGCAGGAGAGAGGGGGGCAGATTTGGATGATCTAGTGAGAACGTGGCGCTGGTGGAAAGGGCCAGACAAGCCTCCAGGACGCGTGGGGCGCCCCCAGCTCAGGGGCGGTGAAGGAGCAGGCTTCCCCCATGGGCTGTCCCAGCCGTGACCTCTCGTGGTAACCGGATAGTTCAGTGTCTGTGGCCTGTTCAGTCCTTGGCCTCTCTGCAGAGCCTGCCAACGAGCGACAATACCACGGACACATGTCCACGGGGAGCTGGGCTGATACCCCCCTCCCCCAATTCGTGTCCCATAGCCCAGCCAGCATTCGGACAGCAGCAGCTGTCCCCACCGGCAGCCTACGAAGGATAGGATCTGTGTCCCATCACCCCCACGACTGGACCGAGCCCCCACGCACGGAGAGGGTCAAACGAGCTTCTCCTGGAGACTAGCAGAGTGTGGAAGCCCTAGGACAGCGACCTGACCTCAGGCCCCCACCGGGGGAGGGAGGATATTCTTGAGATTAAACTTTGGGAGGGGGAGTCAGGACTCCTGGGTTCCATTCCCAGTTCTGTCATGGACCCGGCATGTGACCTTTGGCAAGTCTGGGGTCTCTGTGCCTCAGTTTCCCCATCCGTGACACGGGGAGAATGCTCCCTGGCCTTGTCGGCAGGCGATTCAGCGTCCACTAGGGCTGGAGGGCGCCGGAGGTGGGCGAAGACTGGCACAGGCATTGCCCTGCCCTGTTCCATGGGGTCTTGTTTAGCCAGAGTTGTCATTAGACAGGGACTTTGCCCATCTGGTTTTCATTGTTTTTTGGTAGGTCCTACCAAGAGGAGCCAGATGCCCCGGGGCGTGCTCTGGTGGGACATTATCAAGGAGACCTCTTCGCTCTCCCCAGAGGGCAGGAAAAACCCCTCTGAGGACAGTCTGACCAAGGTAACAGAGTCAGGGTGGGGCTTGGTGCTCGGGGGAGGGCAGGAGGGTTCTCTCTCCCTGTTCCCTGCCAAGTTTCCGCCAGCCCAGTTTGCAGCCCAGTGGCTGCCTGGGCATCTCTGGGCAAAACCGCACTTCAGTGCAAAGCAGGGAACCAGCGCGGCCTTGGCCAGACACCAGAGCCAGGTGTTTCCAGCAGGGACCCTCCGCCTTTCCCGCAGGGTGTCTGCCCCGGGTGTCCCCAGGGCTCACTTCAGGGAAGGCAGCTTTCGCATGGTCTGCCTGGCTTGGGGGGCTGAGAACGGGGTCGCCTCCCCCCCAGGAGCTGGGCTGAGTGTGTCACTCGTGGCACATGGCACGGCCGGTTTGCTGGCCAGGCTGGCGATGCTGCAGTGGCTGGGCAGCCCGTGCTGGGCAGGAGGCTCGCGCTGGACACGTAATGGGGGGGGGGGGAGGGGAGCGGCATTTTTCAGTGTCCGCCCCCACGTCAGCCCCGCCTCCTCCATCTCCGCTCTCCCCCCGCAGGACTCAGGGGTCTCCCCCACTCTGCAGAAGAAGCCGTTCAGCTCCTCCACGTTCCTGCTGGCAGGGCTCACGGGCAGCGAGGAGGCCGACCGGGCGCTGCTGGCGAAGCAGCTGGAGGCGGGCGCCCCCTTGCAGTGCGACTCCGAGGAGTTCCTCTGGCTCGGCCACCCTGTCGACGCCGGCTGCTGCCACCTGCCGCGAGAGACCAGCGTCTAGGGCTGGGCAGCGCCGCTGAGCTGCGGCCCAAAGGGGAGGCTGAGCTGGGTTCAGCCAGCCCCCATCACCCCAGAGCCAGCATGCGGGGAGGGGAACGAATCCAGCCCCCGCCCCAGTGAGGGAGCAATGGACAGAGCAGCCCTGGGCTGGCCAACCCCCTCCACATTTCCCCCAGCAAGGACATTCTGGGAGGAGTATTACAGCACCCCCCACCCTGCACCGTCCCCCTCCAGGGGGTGCCTGTGGCTCTGACTGGCCAGGCAGAGGCTGACACGGCAAAGCGGCTGCACTAAGGTACCTGGATGCTGCAGGCGCCAGCCAGGCACAGCCCAAGTGGGTTTGGGAAGGCAGTAGCCACACAGAGGACCCAAGCTGCAGCCGGTGCTGAGCCCTGTGGCTGTGACAGAGCAGGGCCTTGTCTAGAGCTGCCCACCCCCTCCTGGCTGCTAACATAGCAACAGATGGAGCCCTGGGATTTAGGCTGGTGATTTATGGGGAAACTGAGGCAGGGAGCAAGCAAGGGGCTTGGCAAGTTGGAGAATGGGCCGTGGAAAGAACCCTGGAGTCCTGGGCTGAGCACCAGAGCAGCGCTCACCACATCTGCTAGGCCAGCCCCCATCCAAATTCTGCCTCTGCCCCCCTGAGCCAGGACCAGCTTCTCTGCCCCCCGGCCCCACTGCGGCAGCAATCAGCAGCTGAAGCCACTCGGCACTAAGTACCACATCAGCTCATTTTAACCGGTGTGGGGAATGGTGTGGGGCAGGGTTAGGCTGAGCTCTGGGGGACAGATGGGGTCAGCTCTGCCCTGGCCTCTCAGGCCAGCCATTAGGCCGTATCCCCAGCTGCGGTAAACAGGCCCTAGCCCCGCTGATGTCCCGATTTCCAGGTGGGGCTGCGGGCCGAGCTCTCTCCTTGGGCAGGCTCAGGCCCGACCTGGGGTTTTCAGGGAGTGTTTGGAGTTAACAGTGTCTCGCTCCAGGCACCCTCTGGCAGCATATCGGCATGGCTTCGAGACTCCTGCTTCTTGCATAACTCCTCTGTGCCTGAAGTACTTTATCAACCCACCGCAGACCGTACCTGCTCATGAAATAGCTTATCTGCCCACTGTCTATCTTATCGGGGGCACACAGCGCCTGTTGACTGTAAACACCTTGCTCTAATAAAGATTGAGAAGGAAATAGTTAGTGTGTGTGTGAACGGGGGTGGGGTTGGGGGGGGGGGGAATGCTGATTCCACCCAGAGAGGGGCAAAAGGAATCCTTATGGGGAAGGGTTTGTGGCTGATCCTGAGGGCTGCTCCTAAGTGCTAGGAGATCTCATGGGTCAGGCCCAATAGCCAGCAGGGTCCCTTTGCACCAGGCCCAGACACAGGGGGAGAGACAGCCACTGCCACAAGGCACTTACAAGCGAGAGGAAGGAAGCATCGTTATCCCCAATTTACAGCTAGGGAAACTGAGGCAGATGCAGGGACTCACCCAAGGTCACCCACCAGAGCAAGGAAGTGAACCTAGATCTCCGGAGTCCCGGCTCAGGGCCATAGCTACCAGCCGCCCTGCTTACTCACAGCGAGCCTGTTGTCTATGCTGAGGCCTCGCCTCCTCTAGCCCCTGCTGGGTGCAGATGGGATTTTCCTGAGCCCCTTTAGAGACAAAACCTGGATCCAGATGGCAGGTTTGGTCCCCCTCTGGGCTTGTCCTGGGCCGTATTGATGCCTAGATGCTAAAGCTCAATAAAAGGTTCAAACAGCCAGCTGCTGGCCCCAATCCCCTCCCTGCTGGTTCTGTGTCCCCTCTGCTGTGGTTCCACCATGAGGAGCCCTGGCTTTTAGCTAGCACCCGGTCCCCTGCACCCCGACTCCTGGTGTTTCCCGGCCAGGGCTGAGGGCAGAGCGCCTTCTGGGCGGTGCAGCTCCAGCAGAGGGAGACCTCACATTAAGGCCCCTTGGCAAGTTCTGGGCTGACTGGGGGCCGTGGCGTAATACAGGTGGCTGGCTGATCTCAGTTACAGTCACACACCTGGGCTGCCCATCTAGCTGAGGTCATCCTCAGGGTGTTTGTCCTTGCAGTGCCCCTGGGAGGCAGGCAGTGTTCAGATGGGGAAACTGAGGCCCAAAGATGAAGCAAGTTATCCACAGACTCTTGCACAGCAAGGAGTTGAACCCAGGTCCCGCAGGTCAGAGAAACAGGCTGTAACCCCACTGCACTGTCTTCTGCTTCCTGGAACGGCTCAGAAATTGAAGGACCATAGTGCCACATCCTATGGCTCCACCCCCCAATAAGTACTGCCCTGACAGGCCCCACCCCTTAGCCCAGGGTTTACTGGAAAAGCTCATAATGCATTTCCCCCCAGGCAGCAGAGCTGGGTTGAGCTGTGGTGGGGCACATGTCTGGGGGGTTTGCTTTCTGGGGCAGTGCTCACTGGTGTTGTAATGAGGGTGAGTTACACTGGGGTAAATCTGGCCCGGGGAGCTGGTGGGAGTGGTGTCTGGCCCTGGCACCAGGGGAATCAAACCCAGCTTAAAATCCAGAGAACAGAAAAACAGCTGCAGGGAGCAGGATCAGCCAGCAAAGCCCTGGCTGCTCGCTCCCTTGGAGGAATGCAGTTCTGGGCTCACAGGAGACCCCGCGATGCACCCCTCAATGGTGGGGGCCAGACGGGATCCAGTGACATCCAGCACTAGCTGTGGTTTGGCAGAAGGCCCTTCGCCTCTCTAGTCTTGTCCATAGTCCTCGTGCACCCACCCATGGGTCAGGCGTAGCCTTTGATGTGGCCTCAGCAGACTACCCAGAGGGGGAAATTCACCCTTGTGCACAGGTCCCCCACCCCTGGCTGTGTATTGCATTTGGTTAAATACCAACTGGAGCCAGCTGGGTTCTGAGCTGGGACTAAAGGATCCCGCTCGTTTGGCCATTTCCAGCAGATCCTGCTTATCCCTTTGTCAACAGCCGTCAGGTCGCTGGGAGAAACGCATCTCGGCCTGTCAGTTCCTGCTGAGCCACCTTGCCTGGCTGTGGTGGGTGACTGCTCACTGAAGCCAGGTGGTGTCTAGTCGGGGAGCCAGGTGCAGCTGGGAGGCTGCCATGCAGCGCAGCTGATGAGCTGGTTGGTGACGGCTGCTTGGTTGGATGTTTCCCTGACCCCTTGTGCAAAGGAAAACCCAACTGTGCCGATGTTCACAAGTGCAACAGGAGCACGTTGGCCAAGATCCTTTGCGGCTTTCCAGCAGCTCTAGGGCCCTCTATCCACGCCGCAGACACGGCTGCCGTGCTGGCTCAGAGCTGGCCGTTGGGAGGCCGAGTGAGCCCAAGGCAGACTTGATGCAAACAGCCCTTCTCTACCCTTTGATCCAGCTGTGCCTCAAGCATGGGAATCCACTAAAAGTGCCCAGTGACCTATCACTGCCGTAAAGTGTCAGCTGCCTGCCTCCGGTGAGTTATTGCTGGATCTGAGTAATCTGCCAGCTCCATCATTGAATAATGTTAGCACGGCAGTTTCCTGATTCTCCACGCCCCTTCGCTTGTATCTCTGCTGCAGATGCTCCTGTGTTTCTTAAGATGGGAAAATCCACGCTGTGGCAACTCCTTGATTTGCCCTTATCATAGCAGGTGAAAGGGGAAGTGATGCAAGTGTGGGAATATCAGCTGCTGGGAGTCCAGCCCTGCTAAGTAACTAAAAGATTTGAATTCAGTCTATGGGGAGCTCTGATCTGTGATTTTATTCCACCTGCTTGATAATCTGACATTCAGAGGGCTAATCGAGACATATGCATTGCCTAGCGCTGCTGGGCGCTGCGTGCTTAAAGTGAGCTGAAAAAGGGGTGCGAGGTGTGGGGGGCGGTCTGTCAATCCTTTGGTGTTACATGGTTAAAGTGTGCTCCTCAGCAAAGCAGCTCAATTTCAATGTGGGGTTAGTTGCTGGATCTGGGACCCCTTGCAACTCCCCTGCCCCATGTTAAGCACTGGCTGGGAAGTGAAACGGGCCATGGAGGGTGGGTGCCGCAGCTGGCATGGCATTAGGGAAACAGAGTATCAGGGAGCATGTGCCAGGGGATTGCGTAATCTCTGACTGGGTTTTGCTACCAGAGAAAAGCTCTAGAGGCCGTGGGGTATGCCAGGCCACTGGGCAGTCAATTGCAGGACGGAATGACCCCAAGCAGAGGCTGCTCCAAGGACAGGGAGGTCAATACTAGGACGGTCTGGGGAACAATAAACTCCCTTTAAAAAAAAATGTCAGAGCTGGTTTGTGTCCCCGTGTTCGACATCAATTGACTTCTCTTTTTAAATTTAAACAAACTTTATTGATTTAATGTTTCTGTTTGTCTTTTTTAAAGGAATGAATTCGTTTTGCATATTTTTTGGACAATTCTCTGCCCCCTAAAAGGCAAAATCGACTCCAGAGTAGGACCCCAAGGGGGCAGCAGCGAGCAAAGTAAGATTAAATCCAAAGTGTGTTGCTTTTCAAAGCCCCACCTACAAACCAAGCACACCCATTCATGACCTCAGAGTGAGAGACTGGGAACAGCAGCCTGTGCTGATGTCTGTCCCTTTCTGTCTACACTACACAGCGTTTAGCGACATGCCGCTGTCGCCCCAGCCAGGCCGCTACATGTCGGGCAGCGTAGCCACTGTTTGTCAGCTCTCCTGCCGACAGAAAACTTCTACCCCCAACAAGCAGCGTTTGTGTTGTCGGCAGGAGAGTGCTCCTGCTGACAAGGTGCTGCTCACACTGGCATTTGGCGCGGCAAAACTTTTGTCTTTCGGCCGGGGGTGGGGTGGGGTGGGGAGTTTAACACCTCTGAAAAACAAAAGTTTTGTCATTGAATTGCCAGTGTAGACATAGCCTTGCACTCTTTGATCAGTGGTGAAATCATTGGCATTTACTTTGTCATCACTAGGGTTCAGGGTAAACGTCCCCATTACGTGAAAGGGACACCACATCCCTTTCAGAGATACTGCTTTAAACTGGCCACAGACTCAGGCAGATGTCACTGCATCGGTTATATATGGTCACACTGAAGAGATGCTTTTTTTTGCATCCAGAAGAACTGGAGAGAGACGCATTTTTAAATTTTTTTTTTTATCCTGAAAGCAGATTCTGAAGCAGAAAAAGCAGCCACCAGAAAACAGCCCCGGATGAATGAACTGGGATTTCTGCAGACTTGTGCTTATTACTGAATTGTGACGTAGGCCGGGAAGATGGCAGGTGGCGGGGAAAGCCTGTGGAGTCAGACTGTGGCTAGTCCCCTTTTGGTTTGTTGTGGCTGCCTCTAGCTCTAAGGGCTTGTGATGTTTTCACCTAAGTTGCACCTGGGCTGATAAGAAACAGCCACCATCGAAAGGCAAGCAGGAAACTGGAGGAGCTGCTGACTCTGCTACAAGCTTCTTTTGCTCCCAGACACGCAAAGATCCTGACCAGTGGCCCAGAGACGGGGTCCGTGACTGCAAAGCACCCTCTGGCCACAGTGCAGGCACCCGCTTCAAAGAGAGCTCAGCTGGGGTTCTCGAGTGGCCCTTTCACCCCGATCGCTCGAGCGGCTTTTTAAACATTTATGCTGCATGATTCCATTAAATAAACCGGCCGGCTCACCCATTGTGCTCTGCCTCTTTGGGAAAACATCCAATAGGCCAAAGCTCAGCCCAGTTTAATAGCAGAGAGAGAAGAAGGCTGACCTGCAGCCATCTGCTATCCTCTGCCTGGACTCCTTCCACACAAAGCTTTGCTGATGCCCTGCAATCCTGACCCGCAGCCCCCCTACCATGCCCACTAGCTCAGTCTTAAAACTCCTGATAACACTCAGTGCATTGCAAGCCTGGCCTAAGGCCCCCCCGGCAGGTGAACTAAGCCCACTCAGTTACCCCAACTTGAGTGGCATCTTTGCAGCACCAGCCGTTACCTGCTATGGTGTTGGATCATATTAAAGAAGTTCTGTATTAAAATCACAAATGAGTTTGATTCCCCATAGTTTAAATTCCAGGGTATTACTAATTAAGAGGTCTCTTGGTTTTTGGTACTGTTTCTCTCCCTCTCTGTGTGAAACTTGCAAGCTGCTAATTGCGTTAGTACATTCTAAGACAGAGTCTGTTCTCAAAGCAATTCACACAGAGAGAGACTCAAAGCAATACTCTGTAACAACAGAAACAGCACCCAG